TGGCACGGCGCGGCGCGGCAGCAAAAAGGCAGCGGAGTAGTGCTGAGTTGTATTGTCTTGTTGTTGTTGAAGGTGTCATCTCAAGTGTCGACGGTGAGTATGTTGTAAGGTGGTGCTAGATGTGAGCTTGTTGGTAGGTGTGTATTCATGCATCTCGAATTAAGCTGAAGAGCTGTAATGCCCATCCTTGAGTTCTGTCTATGAAAGAATCACGGCATCAATATAGCAAAACGTGGAAACACACACATGATTGGAAGACATGAAAAGAAATCTGAATGCTGAAATCTGAAATCTGAAAGCTGGAATCCGAAGTATTCTTCAAGAACCGTTTTTTGGCCCGGCGGCCGGTGTGGCAGTTGATTCTGTGAGGGTGTCGGTGCCTTCCTGTGAGAGTCCAGTGAGCGGTGGTGCGTTGGGGTGGTTGCTTTCCCATGCAGGATCGGCGCCCCTGTGACGGGGATCACACTCAGCACCCGAGTGGGACGGCTGAGCGAAACACACTCTGACACTTGTATTCCGTTAACACAATTTCACGATGGGAAGGAAGGCGATGGAACGGAAAGGTGCATAAGTCAGCACGAACTGTATGGTTGAAAATGGTTTCCAAGAGTGCAAGTCTGCGGTCAGCGGCCGGCTGCAGCTCACGAACAGTGGGAAACCTGTTTGTGGGAGGGTATCATGAAGAAGAACCATGGAAACAAAGAAACAGCAGCAGGGCGGACCATTGGTGTCATTGCGTTCAAAGCAGGTACACACCGAGACGTCTCTCGGTGCTTCCCCTCCAGCGACGTAGCTTCGTTGGGCAAGGTTTGTCGCCGGAGGCCTTGCCCCCCTGCTCATGTAGGGTAGAAAGAGTGGTGGTGGAAAACCCTTTGTCCAGGGTTGGACACACACACACACAAGCAAAAAAACGGTGACTGGAAACCAAATCGGAAATAAAAAGAAGTGTGATTAGGTCTGTTTATGGAGGGGGGAGGACCATTAGGACATAATTGACATAATACTAGCTTCAATCATAATGCCATCAGGGACGCAAATTCAACAACCAGTTCCCCGCTGGGGCACTGAACCCAAAAGCCAAGCGTCCCTGGGAACTTGGCGCCACGCGGACTGCGCGGCGGGCTGCCCTCCGGCGGCGAGGGCGGGTGGGCACGGCCCTCACGGCGGTCGCGGTCCGCCATCTCCCGCTCCGCTGCAAGGCGGGTCTGCATGCCTGCGACGGTAGGGCCCGGCGTACTGTATGACTATGACAACCACAACTAGGTAGTTGGCCAACCCCGCCTAGAATGCCAAAAGTTGAACACAAGAACTATATAAAACAACTGGGTTCTTTCTGTTATTAATGATGTTTTTGTTGGCGTTGGTTTGCTGTGACTCCTATTTTTGCCAACCTGTTTCCCTCTACAAGGGTGTCTGCTCAGCTTCCATGATTGCCTCAGGGAGGATAATCTCCCTGTTTGGCTTCACGATGGGTTCCCGTCGATGGATTTTGTAACATCTTCTTAATGTCATGTGGATGTATCGTCAGTTCTTTTTGCTTTTGTGGACTTCATGCGATACTTTTGATATCAATTCAGAACGGGTGTTTGGTTATGTTTGGTTCCTATTGGTCATATAGCGATTACTGTAAATGCGATTCAATGACCAAAGGCCATTGTGGCGCTGCGTTTTTTGCAGCTTGTCAATTGGTTGTATACATGTTTGCTATGGTTGGACAATGGACATGTTGCGTTCAGAATGATGCCTGATGCATTCATGGTTCGAACTCCAGTGCTTTTTCCGTGTTGGGCGGCACCTCCTTTTTGGGGGGACCCGGGCGACCACAATTGAAAAATACGAGGCACCACAGTCAGAGTGTTGCTACCCAAGTGATTGAGTCAGCATTTGGTAGCAACTGCTTCAATCGCAGTGAAGGGTGAAGGACAAAAAGGCCGGGGGGGGGTTCGACCAGCTTTCCAATGCTGGGTAGTTGGAGTCCCTGAACGGTGCACTGCACACGCATGACGAAACCCCACTGGACAGCTCAAAGGCTGAGCCGCAAACCCCGAGACTTGCATGGCATCCCTTTATTGGCACCGAAGGTCTCATCCTAATTTCAAATTCTACCGATAATGCAGTAAATCATTCAGCGAAGGTTCAAAGCGTACAAACCACCCCTCAAGGCATACCACTCTGCTGCAACCCTCTATAAACACGAAGAGTTCCACTTGGGTTATAGCAGAAATCATCTTCCACAACTCCTCTAAGCACGTCCTGCACCACCCTCTTGAGAACTTGGAAGGTGTTTGTAGTTTTTGTCCATACCCTGCCACATTCATATCCATGTGCCAGATGTTCTGCCCCGGTCAGTGCAAATGAACTGGCAATCCTCACCGGGGCACTCATAGGCTCATGAGCTTCATCGTCAATCAGCTCCGGGTCATAGGCATCCAAGCGCGGGTCCTCACGATAGTCCTCCATCATGTTGTCCTTAGCGAAAAAAACGGCTGCAAGTCGATCTCCATCAAATTTTGAGGAGAGGAAAAGGATTATATATATATACAATTATATACATACGTACTGTATACCAATGCTATTTATAGTATATGTATATGTATGTATGCATATGTACATGTGCGTACTATATTTTGCACGAAGTTGTCTTTGCACAATTGAAGAAAGGGGAGACATCCCTTCAGTGGAAAAGTCGCTGGGAAAGCGGAGTTTCTTCGGTCTGGCTCGGTTGAGCTCGGTTGTGTCGGTCTGGGCGTGAGCGATGGGAAAGTAGACGCTGAAATGGGAGTGGATAGCACGGCCCCTTACAGTAGATAACCATGTCTCATATGTTTTTAATTTTTCCTCCATAGAACTGGCAAATGTCCACTGCCATGATCAGTTCAAGGAGCGCACTAACTTGCTGCAAGCGGCGCCAAAAAGGTCTTCCCCATCTTCTTCTTCTTCTGGCTCCTGGTCCTCCATGACATCAGGAATATCCTCACGGTTGAACTCCTGTCCATCAGCCATGGCAGTCGACTATTGCGAGGCACAACGCTTTTCCTAGTTCCCTTGAGCTGAGCGGCGGAGCTGCCGAAGTTCCACGATTCCCGGGACATGCTGGTGATTGAGAAACTGATGAAAAGGGCCAGCCACTTCGCTGTGGCGTAGTCAGCGCAAAGTCACTTAGGAAGGTTCAAACAGCGCCTGCAACAAAGAATCTGGGATAAAGTGATATTGCACTTGGGTCCTGCAGGAGGCAACAATCCCCTAAACGATTTTGGATATATGCGACAGCACTCAGTACTACACTCCCTGAAAAAAAAATTGAAGTGGACCATTCTCCTCTACAGTATAGGTGCTTTTGCACTTCCATGACTATCTCAGGGAGTGTCACAGGTATATGCTCCAATCCTGCCAGAAGGAGCATGGATCCTCCAGCACCACCGGCCTTCCATCCGCTGCTCAACTCCCTAGCATGGACGGTTCCAAATGGATCCGGAGGTCGGAACCCGTCTCAACGACCGTTCCGGGGGTCGGTGTCGACCTCGACTCGCCGCTCCGAGGTCGCGCCTTGTCGCCGCCTCAGAAACGGGGGAGAACAACAGGTGCGCGTTGGGCTGGTGCCGTCCGTTGAGGTCCGACTCTGACTGGAAGACTTCAGGGTGTCATTTCCGCACCATCTATAAGGTCATATGGTGTTCCGGTGGTGTGCTGCACCGAACACCTGGGTCCGGTCCGCCCAGGAGACCGGACCGGCACATCCATCGACTGGGTAGGATTGCCGATCCATTGGGGTGGGGGGTCTGGGGCGGCACCGATGGCATTCCCATGGAGTGTATCGGAATCCTATAAAACAAACAAAACATCGAACACATGACATCCATGAGCAACACCAACAATCTAAAGAGTCAGTAGGATGTGTGTTTTCTTTTGACCTGTGTATTGTGCCCTTGGAACACGGCCTGAAGGACGTCACAGAATGTAGGCTCTTGATTATATTTCAAACCTCTTACGACAGACTTGCAGCTGCTAAGCTCATTGATGACCCACACGGTCGCATGTGTCATGCAGCAAAGGAGTCATTGCCACACCTTGTGCGTGAACGTCCTGGGTTTTGTCCGATAATCCTCCCCTGTGCTTCACGATCTTGGAAGAAATTTTGAACTCCTTGGCATTGTTGAACATCCTTGGTCGGTGTTTCGTGCACGATGCAAGATTTCGGACCCGGTCAACATTGCAATCAAACCATGGAGCCCTCCATGTAAGACACTTGAGAGAGGAGGGGGTGAACGAAAGGTAGCAAGCAATCACAAGTAACCCTGGTAGAAGTCCACGACGGCGTGAACCGGCGCAGGGGGGATTTGATCCAGGGGGGGGGGGGGGGGCCCCCCCCCCCGACGAACAGAATCAACTCTTACAGGACCAAATTCAATGCACAATCCCAACTCCTGATTGTAATACATTTTTGCTAAAGCAAGGAGAACTCAGGTAGCTCAAGCTACCTTTCGTGACATGCATTGTGGACAGGTTCTTTGGCCTGAGCACTTCCTTCTAACCTGTGCTGGTTTTGCCGTGGTTGATTGCGTGGGACGTGTAATTTCTCATGGTCCTGTCCACCAATGGGCAATTGGGAGCTACACTGCTGAATTATTGGCCGTCCTTGTCGCTTTTTGTGAGTCTAGTCAGCCAGTGCAGCTCCACTGCGATTGCAAAACATTGGTTGACCAGTTGTGCATTTTCACTCAAACGCAGACAGTTGATGTAAGCTGGCCACTACAGCGTTGGTGGCATGCTCTCGCGAATGTTTGGCTTTCTCGGAAGGAATTCTGTCCGGAACCTTTGATTGCCAAGTGGGTTCCAGCACATAAACTCGAATCCATCCCTGAGCATCTCATTGATTATGATATGGCACGCGCCAACGGCTCAACTGTTTTGGATATTGTGAATAACCGAAAAGCAGACCATGCAGCCAAAAAGGGCTGCTCTGGCAAACTCGTTGGTCGCACCAGAAATGTACCAGACACTGTGCCATGCAGTTGAAGAAAGACATGTTTGGCTTGCACCGGTTCTGTGGTCAGGTCACCCCGACCTATATTGAAAAAACGGATGACGAGCGTGTTGATGATAATCAGCCTGACATACTCTTTTTCCACAGTTGCCATGGGATGCTAACATGCATGATTTCCCTCTGAGCTTTGGTCACCACTGGCCATCACCTCCACCTAAAGGCTGGAAGTCTAGCCATGATGACTGGGGTCACTTTGGAAAGTTTGTGGCCAGCCTCCGTTGGAAGCAGCATGCTGACCTTCGTGTTTCCTACAATGAGCTGGCAGTGCTTTTTGTATATCGGAAGTTCAAACGTGATTGTTTGTGTGACGAGTTTTGCACTTTTGCCCAGCTCACCGGGTGGCTCAACGGCTCCTTCGCCGTTTGTCGACGAAGACTCGAACAGGACCTTTTCCCTGGCATGCATGAAGGCCATATCGCGCACACTTGGGGCAAATCGATGCCCCCAGGATCGATATGCGGTGGCCGCCCTTTTATGTCTGATGATGAGCTGCTCTTTTTATCTCTTTTTGGTCAATATTTCGAAGCGTGTTTTTGGTTCTGCTATGTCACAATGGAACTTTCCTGTACGTGATGTTGTGCTTTGACTCCTCTTGAATTTTTGTATAGTGGACATGTTCGATCCCCACCCAGTGGAACGCTGGTGGTGCCGCGTGAAGCTGTTTGGGAGCGGATCGCGCGAGTGAGGTAGAAAAGGTTTTACAATCCAAATGATTTGACATATGAATCATGTGTGTCATTGTGTGTCTACACTCCCAGGTCTTCACCACTCATTCTTCCAGCCCCTTTAATGATCCTTTCCCCTCCCCAGCACCCAATCCAATCTAACGTCGGCCCTCGGTGTTGGTCGGATCGGGGAGCCAAGGCGCACAGCTCTGCAAAGATTTGATGTGCACTTTCGACCTCTTGGAAGCTCAAAGCGCAGTCCAACTGCAACCTCGTTGTGTGCACGTCTTCGGACGTTGGTAAAAGCTGAGGCGAAGCGGCGAAGCGGGAGAAGCGGGGGGGCTCGTTTTTCCGGCGAAGCGGGACTTCATCGACCGGTTTCTGGGAATCCTGATTTCTTCATTTACCATCATTGACCCACATCAGTCCCCGTGATTCTTTGCATTGGTGATGAGGTGGTGATGTGCCAGAGTTGCCTCCTGCTTCAGTCCTCACCCAACCTCATGAATTTCAATCCATTCATATCAATTGATTGAAACAAGTAAACAAGACTGAGAGTCGGTCGGCCTTCATATCTTCCCCTTTCACCCGCGCTTTGTTTCATACACTCTTCACAAACATGGCAACTAAATATAGCTAGTCTTCACTAAGAAAAACTGAAGAAAACTAAGGGAATCTAAACAAGCCTGCTAATGACTGGTAATGATGCCACTGATCAAAACATGGCTGCAGTGCCTGGCAATGATGCACGCCATTGGAGACATTGCACCCTCTCCAAGATCCCCTATGACATTGTGAGCATTGGCTACCCACATTGTGAGGGCAGCCCCAGACTTTCTTAGATTGGCCTCTGTGGCCCAGATTGGCCTCTGCGGCCCAAAGAAGACATCAAATGAACAAATCATCTGTAGCCTGGCCCTACATTCCAACCGGCCGGCCTCCCACAAACCACAGCTCCAATGATCCCCACAGCGAGAATGATCCCCAGTACTAAGCTGACGGCCCAACATCTTCCCAAACCTCAGGTCCAAGTGAAGAAACGGTTCCACTGGGAACCTTCTGGGCTTTGAAACACCGGGGCTTTTCGCCACGGTGTTCCACCGCTTCGGGTCTCCAACGACGGGACATGCCCGTGCGGGCCCACGTGATTCGGAAGTTAAGGGTCGTCCGAGGTCAACAGCTATACAGCTGGGTCTATCCGAGTCTACCTGGGCCTCAGTGGATGATGGATGGTTAGGTTGAAGGCCCCCAGTGCCCCCAGTCCAAAAAAAGTGATAGTCTTTTACTGACTGTTACAGGTATTAGGTGTATAATTTGGGGTCTGCAAAGGTTGATTGTGTGGTCGTATATGACTGGAATGCTGATCACTGAGCCGACTAAGAATGAGAGAAATGGCATTCACAAGCCATGGAAGCTAGAAAAAGTGCGACAGGATGCGAAAGGCATATCCAAGTGACTCCTGTGTATGTTGTCGCCCGGAGGTGGTGGTGGGTGAGGGTGACTGCCAAGGAAATCTCAGGGATACATCCAACACGCAGCATCACATTGCATCACTTTGGCCAAGGGAGTTGTGCATGTCAATTCTGGTCCCAGAATGTCCCAGACGCCTTCTGATCAGAATGCTAAAGCAACTCAACATATCTCTCAAACACGCAATCCCAAGACCTGCTGGCACAACAGAGCCTCCGGAGCAATACTTGAAAGACTCGAAGGAGCAGTGTATAGAATGCTTGAAAAACTAAACACCGTTTTCCGATTTGTTCCGACTATAAACAATCGAAATGCTTGAAAGAGCTATTCTTGCCCCCCCGGATGGCTGACCTCTTGTGACCTTCGTCTCGGCGCCCCGGGCCACGATGGATTTGGCAGCACCATCCCCCTGGCGATCCGTCGAACCCAAACCTCGTCTGCCGACACATCCCCCAAACTGCTGAGATCTGAGCGATGGTGTCAGGGGTCTGACCGGCGGGTGTACCAAACTGAAGAGTAAAGTCCTGGATTTGAACCCATCCGTTCATCCAAATCAAAAGTCTGGCGCTTACGGTGATCGTCCATCAAGATTTTGCTCATCCAAAAGCACCATTCGGAAGAATCACTTGGGTAGCTTGTCACTAAGTTGTGTGATATCTTTACCAATCTGAATGCTCACATAGTACAAATGGGTCTCCAAGCCACGAAGCCTCAGCAAAAGAAACCAAAGAGACAAGGCTAAGGGCTAATGCAGCAATCTGTCCAAACGTCTTAGGTTCAAGGAGTAGCAGGGCAAGCTCCACGACTCCAACCTAAAGGGTGCAGTAGCAGCCGCTCCAAGACTCGTCAAAAACAGCAAGACTCGTGAAACGTCCTACTCGCTGAC